TGTTGACCTCTGCATTCTATACGTTATGTTGCATGTCAAATAGTCCTGATCACTGAACTTTTCATACTTTTCATAGTTGTGCTTCTGTATTTTATACTCTGTTTTCTACATTAAATAGTCCTGACCCCTGCACTCTATACCCTGTGTTGTACATTACACAGCTCTGATAACTCACTCCATATGCTACAGTACTGTGCAAAAGGTTTAGGCAGGTGTAAAAAAAATGCTGTAAAGTAAGAATTCTTTCAGAAATAAAAGTGTCAATAGTTTTTTATCAATTAACAAAATAGAAAGTAAATGAACAGTAGAGAAATCCATATCAAATCAATAACTTGGGTGATCGCCTTCAAAACAGCATTAATTCTTCTAGGTACACTTGCACTCAGTTTTTGAAGGAACTCAGCAGGTAGGTTATTCCAAACATCTTGGGGAACTAACCACAGATTTTCTGTGGATGTAGGCTGCCTCAAATCCTTCTGTCTCGTCATGTAATCCCAGACAGATTGGATGGTGTTGAGATCAGGGCTCGGTGGGGGCCAAACCATCACTTCCAATACTCCATGTTCTTCCTTACACTGAAGATAGATCTTAATTGCATTGGCTGTATGTTTGCGGTCGTTGTCCTGCTGCAGAATACATTTAAAATAAATCACATGAAACAAGGTGTATTCACTCCATATACATATGAATTAATCTCAGAAACATCAAAGTTATGATAAATGCCCATGTGGCGACTAATGGGAGAGGACAATTTCCCATTTTTGATCAGGTAAAGATGATTGTAATCGGGTTTGTCCATCTGGGTGGGGGAAGGAGAAGCAACGGCCCTTTGGCAATGCTGTCAGCCTGTTGTGGGGGCTGGCAGGGGGCGGACTGTTAAGTTGCGGTGGTGGTCCTTACTCCCGCTATGTCGGTGGGACAGATTATCCGCCGGCTCCTCTTTAGCTGCTTCACACCCCATCCCCGGTGGGGGAGGAGTTATGCCATTCAGGCAGTGCTGCTGGCCGAAGATAGGGGCGGGTCCTCATGCCTCAGATGCCCCCCTTTTAACCACGATCTGAGTTTTCCTGCGGAAACGCAGTAGTGGCCCCACCTACAATGACATCACACCTTTTCATTGGCAGATGTGTCAGTGTCCTTGGGCTATATAAGGACGGATGGAGATATTTATATCTGAATAGGTTTGCAGTACCAACATTCATTGGGACAGAGGTCCTGATGGGCTATAGAGTGGACTATGGAGGAGTGACATATATACGCTGTAAGGTTGCTAATAGTTTGATATACCTTATAACCATTTAACGGGTTAGCAATGTATCCTTTATCTGGTAATTTGTTATATTTATTTATAGTAACATTCACCAGTGGTGGAGGCATGGGCTCCATTTGACAATCTACAGGTTCCAACTATATATGTGATTACATTCTTTTGGGATATGATATTAAATGTTCATATATGTTCCAGTGGAATGTGGCAGTTTGGGGATAGAGTCCCAATATATCTATATTGTTACCCCTAGGTGGTTGGATGACCTGTTATCCTCCTCCTTCCCTTATACATAAACCCAGGCATTTTCGAATGAGAGCTGCATTCCTTTGGGGCAATTCAGAATATGTTGTGGCCTACAGATAATTTTCATCATAAAATGCTAAGAACTAAGTGATCTTTTTTGGGTACCTTGAATGTTGACATTACATTGTGTATTTTTGCACTAAAGATACTCATTTGGAAATTATAGATGTCTATACCTTCCTAAAGAAGCAAGTATGCAAAACGTATTGTAGGTTGGATGACCACAAAGTATCTTCTGATATGTGTATATCTTCTTAGATCATGAAAATCTGAATTGTAGATTTTCATATTACAACTTTGTATGGGAATATGTAGGGATGCACCAATGCAGGTTTTTTGTTATCGAGTTCGCGTACCAATGTTTATATTTCAGTTCTCGGCGATACCGAGTACCGATTCCAGTTTTTCCGCTAGCATGGAGCCAGCTTCCCAGGCAATCAATAAGTCGGGCGGCGGGTAATGACACTATCCGGCCAATCAGCATCGAGCTGGCCAAACAGCATGGAGCCAGCTTCCCGGCCAATCAGGAAGCCTGGTGGCGAGTCATTACCCGCCGCCCAGCTTCCCGATTGGCCAGGAAGCAATATTTTAAGTATTTGTTTGTGGTTATTGTGGTGTGGTCATGGTAAAAAGCCCCGATTTTTTTGTTTGTTGATGTGATTTGTATATGTAAGGGGTAACATGGCATAGATTCTGGGATCCGATATATTTGGTCTAAATCACACCTTCATGACTAAATCTAAGGATGTGAATGTATCACTAAGCCCACACCTGTTTTACAATATTAAATCCAATTTCCAATTCACTTGGGTCTGTAAAATAGCATATTTGAAAGTCCATATTTCCCCAGTGTATGAATCCCTAATCTGCACTCTATAGTGAACTCTTGGGTCTCCTGAGGACATAGAGAATCATCCCTGTCTCATAGACTGGTAAACACCAGCCGTTAAAATTACTTTGCTGCCAACATTTCTGTATTTTTTTCAGTTGCTCCTTGTTGGAATCCCACGCTTGTTCTTAAAGGGGACCTTCACAGTCTTCAATAATTTTTCATTATTTTCCTCCCCCCCACCCCACTCAGCCCCACACTGCTTCCTCACCTATATGAAAATGACATCAGCCAGCTATCTGCAGCCTCCTAAAAATACCACATCACACACATCTCAGGAGGCTTAAAGGCAATCTCCACCATACTGCCCATCATGCACTGTGCCACAGCACATCAGCAGGGGGGACCTGGAAGAGACAGCTGGCTCCCAATGAGCCAAAGAAGAGAAGATGGTGACGTGGGATCCTGCATGCAGCATTGTAGAGGCAGATTACACCATAAACGCTGCATAAGCTGGGCATGTGAGTTTGTTTTTTTGAGGACAACTCAGCAGACAAAGTAAGAGGGAAAAGAAAATGTATCAACATATACAGAGAAGTGAAGTTCCTCTTTAACTGGTCTGTAATTGATCTATTGATTCTGCTTTGCAGAAAGTTTTGTTTGTAAATTTAAATGTTACCTTTTTTCTGCTTAAAACTTAACAAAACAGTGACACATGATTCTGCTCAAATTGCTTTTGACACAGTATGATGTAATAAAGGACATTGATTTAAATGGCCCTAAAGCATACTTGTGATAGTGAGGCGCGAACAGGTTTATTTACTAGAATAAATAGTAATGTGGATTGTGAAGCAACAAATCAGAATTCATCTATCATTGGTAAACTTAAAGTAGTATTAAAGTCACTTTTGTTTTTACATATATCTACTGCTAGTAGCAGCAAATATATGCAAAAACATTTTTTTTAAAAAGGTAAGTTACCAAATAGGTAATTACTTACCTGTGTCTGCGCCGTGCAGGTTGATGGGACGGGCATATGCACAGTAGAGATCTTCAGCGGGGAGAAGAGGAGAGACACAGTGTAAGTGAATGCACGCAGTTGTGAGCGTGCACACCAGACAGACACCGTGGGACACAGAAGACACCGCAAACAGTGCTGGATCAGGGACTGGCACCAGCGCTCGAGGGACTCCTGAAAACTAATGGAAAGAAGAAGATGATCAGAGCAAGAGGCATAATTTTAAGGCAAGTCCTTAAAGCAGGGGGGATAATTGTGACTTTTCACTTTAAATCTGAATGCCATGGGTTACTGCACATTGTGCTGGCTATTTGCACTGCTTTATTAAAGTAGTATTAAAGGCTCGGTATTTTTTACCTAATGGATTCTCTCCATTCAGTGGTGTAACAATCGCCATAGCGACCCAGGCGGCCACTATGGGGCCTGGGGCACAGGGGGGCCCGACCGGGACATCCCCCTGATGCCGTGCGGGCCACCAGGGTCGCTATGGTATCTCAGGCTATTGGCAGTCACTGGCGGGTGTGAGGAGGAATGTGTTACTGTTAGATCACCGACAATCTGTCAGTGATCTGTGCAGTGGCGCGTTCCTCCGCAGAGTCCGCAGCCAGCAGCTTTGAAAGGCTGCACACGGCGTCAGAAGTAGAGGAGGAGGCGGGCCTGATGATGGAAGGAGGCGGCGGGGCCTGGTGCCAGGGGAGGCAGGGCCTGCCAGCGACTGTGGAGGTGGATCGGGGCTGACAGGTAAGAGGTGCGCAGCCCACCTGAGACCCTGCAGAGCCCACCATAGAGAGTCTGGCGGGCTCTGCAGGGTCACTCTCAGCTGGGCTGTTTTGGATATCAAGTGGGCTCTGCAAGGGCATAACTAGAAATCACAGGGCCCCATACAAAATTTTGCTTTAGGGCCCTGGGATTTCTAGTTACGCCCTTGTCTGCATTAGTGTAAAAAACGGCCAGTACCTTTTTGTGTCCCCACCACACTTACCTGTGAACACTCGTCACAACCATCAGTCCTTGTAGCTATCCTCCGTTCCCCAAACCTCCTAGTTGTGGGGGAGGATACTGAGGGCAGAGGAACCATAGGCTTCTTCTGCCGCCAGGCAATATGTTGGGAGGAAAGGAGGGGCATGTGGCCTGCCGCATGCTGTGTGTGTGTCTATGGATGCACACAGCTACCTGTGGACACGGCTGGGAAAATGCACGGGTGCCTCCTCAGCAGCCAGCTAGGTCATGGAGGCACCCACACAGGGGGTGGGAGGGAGAGTGAATTAGGGACTAACTAGAGAACGAGGAATTGCAACATTTTAAACAACAAGAACATAAGATTTGCAAAATTGTGGGCCTCCCATGTATGAAAAACAAACGGAAGGTTTAATATCACTTTAAATAAGCCAAGCCTTCATTTCTGGTGGGGATTCCAATGTAGAACCCTGTTCATCTAAGTTCAAATATAATCGTTACAATACATATATGAATAGTAGGATTAATAATGTAGTCATATTTAGATTGCATACACAATTGGTATGATCTTGGTTTATTTTTCTTACACTGTATATATCATGTTTTAAATATCTTTCCAATAGGCACCAACAGGAAGCAACTAAGGATCCTGTCATACTGAATGCTCTGCTCCATGTCTGCAAGACACTGCACGATTCTGTGAAGTGAGTTTTTTTGCATTTTACTTTACTGATTATTTACATAAATGTAAAGGAAGTACAGATTATACAAAATAGGCTTGGCTGTGGATGCAATATAAATTATAGAAAATATCACTGTTTGGGTGGGGGATGGATACTTTTTTTTTGTAAATATATTGCTTATAAAATAATCTCAGTCAAATGTAAAGATGTAATACTGGTTTATAATAAGGAGCTGTTAAAGTCACTAAATGTATTCATAAGATACTTTTGGCTTCTTCCTTGTAATTGTAGGGCAGCTAATGTAGGTGACACCCTCAAAGCATATCTAAACTCAAGAACGCAATATACTATATTTCAGCTTACAGTCCTTGGGTTTGGTGGTATATTAGTTTTCCTTTTTTTCAGTTTTCCCCCTTTTCACCTGGTGATCCTGCAAATAACACACTTCCCGTCCCTTCTTGGCCACACTAATTTCTCCACTGCATCTGTTTAGGGAGCCATAGTTGTCACACAGGTTGGACTTTAAACATGTCTGTCTTTGTTCATCTCAATTAAATGCTGGATTGATGGGACTAATAGTTTACCCAGGAAAGAGAAGCATGTTGGTAATATCTTTGCAGTTCACATGAAATAAAAAGAACACTACATTTCTGGCAATATCAATAGGTATTTTCTGTACTTTCTGAAATGTTTTAACCCTTTCAGCTGGCCGCACCATTTTTGCAATTTTTCCCATTTGATTTGATTTTCAACTGCTGGGTTTTTAGCGTTTGTATAAGACCCCCCCCCCCCAAACCATATATTTTCTGAAAGTGCAGGCCCAGTAGAATAAAAAGATGGTGTAAGCCCTGCGATAATTGCGCACGTTTCTCAAATTAATATTAAATTGATGAAAATACACAATTCAATTGTTAAAACACACCAAAATCAGTATCCGTGCACAAACAAAAATATTTTCTGACTAAATCTAAAAGATGAAACTGTATTGAGTTAATAAATAACAAATTTGAAATTGCGCCTTTTTGCGAAAATGTAAAAAAATGAAGGTACGCAAAACTGTAAATAAGTGACTTATGTAAAAAAAATTGGTGTTTGTGTTGTGATAAAATGATACAGGTGTATATTTAATTGCAACACAAGGCATCACAACGCATGGCAATGCATCACAAAGCTTTGCCATGTGCAGCCACAGTTAATTTAATGTTTTTTTTAAAGAAAAAAAATAAAGAACAAAAATCATGCACTGAGATGCGTTCTAACAACGCACTGCAGCACATGTGCATGGTGTGCACCACAATATGTGTATGTTATGTGGGGGGAGGGAGGGGTTGTGCTTTTTTTTTGCACATTTTCTATTTATTTTTAAATAATGTTATTTTGTTTTACATTTATTTATTTATTTATTTTTACTGTTGGGGGGGCTACGGTAAAATCTCTGGGGTCTAAACAGACCCCTGACATTTCCCTTTTGAAATAGAAAAAGAAATTGAGGACACCAAATCCTCAATTTCTTTTTCTGCAGCCTCAGCACTCAATGAATGGGAAGCACTCAGTACAGAGGCTTCCCATTCCATTCAGAAACTGCTGATAGTAAAATATTTACTATCAAGCAGTTTATGAATGGGGAAGAAGCCTCCATAGTGAGTGCTACTCCCCATTCAGAAATTCATGAATGAACAGGCTGTGATGTGAATCACAGCCTGTTCATTCATAACTGGGAACACATAGTACTATGGGGGTTATTCACAAAGCTGCCGAACGATCTAGCCATAGCTTCGGATGATCCTTCGGCTTGCTTCGGCCCCATGACCCCTTCAGTTCAGTAGAACCGAAGGGCTACTGTACGGGCTATTCACTATAGCCCGTACAGTTCCCGAAGTTGGCCGAGCGGCTCAGTCGAGACGAATGCATATGCTTCGGCTCAACTGAGCCAAGGTGAAAGCCGAAGCTGGAATGGCCGGCCGACAACCTGCCACTGACAGCTTGGCGGAGCCAGCCGTCATCTCACGGTTGGCTCTAGCCGCTTGCATGCAGAGACAGATCAGCGTCCCCTGGTTACCAGTTAACCAGGGACGCTGATCTGTCATTACACTGAGAACCCAGCGGAGCCGCTGTGATATCAAGGCATCTCCGCTGGGTTCTCAGTGTGTAATAACAGTTCAGCATCTCCTGGTTACCTAGTAACCTGGGCACGCTGGACTGTTATTACACACTGAGAACCCGGCGG